CAGAGTTTCCCAGTCCTTATCATGTTCCGAACATCCTAGAGGGACATGATTCATTGTGAGCTCAAGCCATCATGCTGACTCTAAAGTTCTGAGGTCAAAGCTTCTTGAAGGGCCATGTATCCTAGGGAGTGAAAACATCTTTTGTGCCCTAGAGACTCAAGAATCTGACAGGGCCACAGTGACTCTGAGGGTTGGGTCATCTAAGGGCTGCAGTAGTAATAATAATGATGATGGTGATAATTATGCGTGATAATGATAACAAATGTGTGCTTACTATGTTCAAAGTGCAGATCTTGGGCTGGGCATGGGGGCTCACACCTATAATCCCATCACTCTGGGAGGCCAAGGTGAGAGGATTGCCTGAGCCCATGGGTTTGAGACTAGCCCGGGCAACTTGGCAAAGGGCAACTTGGCAAGACCTCATCTCTACAATAAATCAAAAAATTATCTGGGCGTGGTGACGCATGTCTGTAGTTCCAGCTACTTGGAAGGCTGAGGTGGAAGGATCACCAGAGACCAGCAGATTGAGGCTGCGGTGGCTGTGATCGTAACACTGCACTCCAGCCTGGGCAACAGAGTGAGACTCTGACTCAAAAAAAAAAAAAAAAAGAAAAAGAAAAGCACTGTTCTAAGACACCAACCCGTCTCTCTTACTCCAGGATACCCTATGATCTAGAGCACCCTGAACCCCAGGGCAGCCCTAACCTAGCAAGATCCAGTCATATGCAGGCAGCTAGGACCCACAAGAAAACACTGAATTGCATGCACCCTACTGGAGATTCCTTAACCCTGCAAGAGAACTCTGGCCATCTATCCAGGACAGCCAGATTGCTCCAGGACCCTGACCCAACACTGTTCCCTAAACATACCAAAAGACTACAAGTTTGACTTAGTATCTCAGAACATTATAATCCCTCAGGAGACTGGAAGTTTTTAGAAGCGTTGGATCTTCTAAGGCACCCTTATTTCAAGGACTTCAAGGAAGCCCGACTCCCAGAATCCTCTTGTCCCACAAGAGAAGGATGGTGTAGTGGTTAAGAGCAAGGAGTCAAACTGCCAGGTTCAAATTCTAGCTGGGCCACTTACTATTTATGTGACCTTGAGCCCATTACTTAATATCTCCATGCCAGCCAGGCTCGGTGGCTCAGCCTGTAATCCCGCACTTTAGGAGGCTGAGGTGAGTGGATTGCCTGAGCCCGCGGGTTCAAGACCTGCCTGGGGAACTTGGCAAGACATCATCTCTACAATAAGTCAAAAAAAATTAGCCAGGCGTGGTAGCGCGCGCCTGTAGTTTCAGCTACTTGGAAGGCTGAGGCGGAAGGAGCGCCTGGAGTGGCCACTGCACTCCAGTCTGGGCGACAGAGTGAGACTCCAACTCAAAAAAAAAAAAAAAAATCTCCATGCCTTAGTTTCATCATCTGGAGAATATAATACAGTCAATTCTCTCTATTTGAGGCAGTTATGTTCCATAAAGTCACACAAACACCAAATCAGAAAATATTGAACATTGCTCCTGGAAGAAATAGCCTCTCGTCAGGACATTTTTGCCAACCAGTCAATATACAAACTTGTATGATGTGTGTTTCTGTATTACATTTTTATGTCACATATACAGTTGATTCAATAATATTGAATTCATGGCCAACGGCACTGTAGCTCCTGTTGGAACGGAGCTTACCTAACACATCACAACCCATGCACTAGAAACGTCAGGTGACAATTCAGCGCTACACTCAGGGACCCTTTTAAACAGCAAAATCACTAACAAGAAGCAGAAAAAAATATGAAAACCATGACATCGAACAGGCTGTGAAGAGGACCCGGGGGCTGAAACAAGATGGCAGAACCCCACCTTGCTTGACCTCATATGGGAACTCAGCAACTCAATTTTTTCACTGCTCTGCGCATACACAAGCCAGGAGCCTCCACAAAAAGTGTCAAGGAGTCTCGCAAAGAAGTGTGGGTTTGGAGGTCACAAATATATTTTAGCAAGCAGGTGAATTTACAGATATGGAATCCACACCTCACGTAGTTGTAATTCCCTTCTTTTCTTTTTCTCTTTTTGAAATGGGATCTCACTTGGTCACCCAGGCTGGATGCAGTGAGTGGCACAAAACCACAGCCTTGACCTCCTGGGCTCACATGATCCTCCTGTCTCAGCCTCCTGAGTAGCCTGGGACTACAGGCACATGCCATCATCCCTGGCTAATTGTTTAATTTTTTTTTTTTTTGGTAGAGATGGAGTCTCACCTTGTTGCCTGGGCTGGTCTCTAACACCTGGCCTCAAGTGATCCTTCCAAAGTGCTGGGATGACAGGCACGAGCCGTTGTTTCTAGCCTGTAATTGTTATTATTATTATTTGAGTTGGAAACTTTTACTCTGTCGCCCAGGCGGGAGTGCAGTGGCACGCTCACAGTCACCACAGCCTCGACCTGCTGGGCTCGGGTGATCCTTCTGTCTCAGCCTCGATCTTCTAGGCTCAGGCGAAACTTCCGCCTCGGCCTTCCAAGTAGCTGGAACTGCAGGCATGCACCATCACACCGGCTAATTTTTCTTGATTTATTGTGTGGGGAGCAGATGTGATGTGGGGAGCGGATGAGAGGTGGGGAGCTGTCACTGTAGCAGACCTTGAGTAAAGGCCCCAAGCGAAGGCAAGGTCTCGCTTGATAGCTCTGCATCCTAGCCAAAGGCAAGGGATGCAGCCTGTCACACAAAACGGCGCCTCAGATGCCCACACATCCGGGTGCACACAGCACAGATAAAACCTTAGCGACAACAAGATAACCGTGGAACAGCTCGCCTTTAGCTAGCAACAAAATTCCGTTATGGCTCCCTCACAGGTCTGGAACCCCTCCCAACTTCCTTTGTGCTTGATTATGCAATAAACATGCTGAGCTAGTTCAGGGCCACTTCTCCTCCATCAGAGGAAAGTGTCCCACCTGGCCCCAGCTTTTCTTCATGTCTTTGTGTCTGTCTTTCTTAATCTCTCGTCGTCTCTCTCGGGACCCTCAAGACAGCCACGTGGGCCGCAGCATTATTGTAGAGAAGAGATCTCACCAAGTTGCCCAGGCTGGTCTCGAACCCCTAGGCTCAGGCAGTCCTCTCGCCTCTGCCTCCCAAAGTGCCGGGAGGACAGTCAAGAGCCACCACACCCGGCAGTGAGCAGTGTTTTTCAACTTTACTGTTGTTATGGACTGATTGTGTTTCCCCCCTCATTCACACGTTGAAGCCCTACCCACCAATGTGGTCGTCATAGGAGGTGGGCCTTCGGGAGGTCATTAGGTTTGGGTGAGGTCCTGAGGTTGAGGCCCCATGATGGGATTAGGGTCCTTACGAGAAGAGGAAGAGAGACCAGAGCTGGTTCTTTCTCTGCCATGTGAAGACACAGTGCAAGCCAGGAAGAGAGCCCAGGGAGCTGAAGAGGCCGACCCCTGGGTCTTGGACTTCCCAGCTCCCAGAACTGTGAGAAACAAATGTCTAGTGTTTAAGCCACCCAGTCTGTGCTATGTTGCTCTGACGGCCGGAGCTGACCAGGACACACTGCATTCAGTTGTCCTGAGGGTCCTGTTACAATGCAGATTGGAGTTTGCTAGGATGCAGGTGGGGCCAAGCTCCCACGTGCTGCTGCTGCTCCAGGGACCACATTTTAAGCACCAGGATCCTAAAAGATGATGACATTCCCTGTGGTGACTCGTCAGGGTGTTCAGAAAGGCTGTGCATGAGGGGTGAGCAGGATTTGGGGATCAGACTATCCCACGGGTGCCGTGTGTTCCCCAGGTGAGTGTGTCCTAATCAGGTCAGTATGTCCTAAGGGGTTGAGGTGGAATGTTCTGGTCAGGGCGTCCCTAAGTTTCAGTGAGTCCTGGAGAATCCTAAGGCCCTGGGCTGTCAGGTTGTCCTTGGAGGGTCAGAGTGTCCTGGGGATGTCAGAATGTACTTCCCGGGTCTTAGTAACCTGAAGAGGCAGAGGTTGCCCTCACTGCTCAGGGATTGCAGGTGTGCTGGAACTTCCTCGAGGAGTCAGAATGTCAGGACATCATCGGGCTCTCAATCCTGAAGTCTGGGGTCAGAATGCATCTGGAATTCAGCTTCTCTGGCAGGTCAGGGTTTTCTGAAGGTCTGGGTGACCTTGGATGGTCTAGTGTCCTGAGGGTTCTGTCAGAACGAGGAAGTGATATCTGGGGAGGAAGCCGGAGAGTACTTGAGAGCCAAGGTGTCCGGGAGATTCATTCCAGGGGCGGGGTGGAGGGGTGTCCAGGTTGTCCGAGGAGTGGCTGGTGCATCTGAGCCATCAGGGGATCTGGGAGGGGCAGCGTGCACTCGTGACTTTTTGCCTTTGGGTTTCCAGGAAACAAGTCCTCAGGTGTCAGGCAACACTGAGGTGCCAGGCCGGCCCTGCTCCCATCCCCGCCTGTCCCCCCCCTCGCTCCCCTCCCCACTGTGGGGTCTGAGGAGTGGTCTTGGGAGGAATGCATTCCCCCCCCCCTGCTCCCAGGAGGGGATTTAGCAGGACAAAAGACTCCGGTCCTCTGGGAACACGAGCTCTTGGCCCCAGTCCTGGACCCTCCGACAGAACACCTTGCCTCCTCCGGCTGGTGATCCTCCCTGAGCAAGGGGCTCTGGGGACCAGGTGATGATTGGATGGGCCCACGGGGCCAGGAGGGGGTCACTCCTCCAAGACGCAGGGAGACAGGGGTGGGATGGGACAGCGGGCAGCTGGCAGGAAGGAGAGGGCAGCATCCCCTGAGAGGAGGGCAGGCAGGGAAACAGAGGAACGGGTCAGTCCAGACAGAGTGAGAGGACGCTCAGGTAAGGGGGGACTTAGGAGAGAACTGGAGACCAGCAGCGACGGAAAAGGAGACAAAAGCATCCATCTCCATCTATGCGCACGTCCAGAGACAGTCGCAGAAAAAGGGATAAACAGAAAGCGCGGGCGTGGAGGGGGCCGGCAGAGACAGGCAAGACTGGCGGCGAGAGGCCCAGCGACGGAGCCTGAGCAGATGGAGGAAGCAGAAGGGAGGCGACAGCCGGGGAAGCCGAGGGGGGGGCCCGTCTGCTGCAGCCGCCCTCAGGGGAGACACCCTGCCGCTGGGACCCCGGCCTCCACGGCGGGTGAGTGAATTTCTGGGCACCTCCGACCCTGAGAAGGCAGGGGCATGAGGCTCATTGCCAAGGAGGTCTGAGAGGAAGGTTCAGAGGGGAAATTCAAAGGGGAGCCCAGCATGTTAAATCCACTGACACCTTGGAGGGAACCAGACAGTAAGACACCTTTGTGGGGCAGGTGGGTGGAGACCAAGCCCAGCAGGAGCGGCTCACATCCCTTAGGGCCAAGGTGGAGCTGACATCCCCTCACCCTGCTGACTGGGAGTTGGCCCCAGGGCACTGCCTTCTCTGAGGGAGGGAGCTGAGGCCAGGACTCTGGGTCCAAGGAGAGTGGGCTCAGTTGGGTAGTGTCCCCACGTGGACAGTGAGCCTGAGTGGGGCCGCACCCTGGTCCCCACGGGGACGGGACAGCGCCAGACGTCTCCTTGTCTCAGCGCACGCCTCCCAAGTGCTTCCTTTCCCTCCCCAGCCTCTTCCCTTCCCTCCCCAGCCTCTTCCCTGCGGCTCTCAGACTAATTAGTGGGGGGGCTTAGCGGGCCTGCGGGAGGGCAGGCAAGCCTTTCCCACGAGCTCAGGTTCCTGCAGCCTGGTGGCCGCGCCAGGGCAGGGCTGGGGGAAGAGAAAGCAAGCAGGGGAGGGTATGTCTGAGCGGAAGGGGGGGCACTTCTTCTGCCCAGGTGAGGGGTGCGGAGGATGGGTATAAAAAGGATCCAGGTGAACGCGACCCTGCGTGAGCCACGGGGGTCTTCCATAGGGAGCTAGGGGCTGCTGCAGGGCCAAGAGCAGAGGACAGACCCCCCGGGGTGAGCCCCAGGGGGTCGCCTGCTTGCCTCGGAGGGGCGTGTGTCTGGGGGCGCAGTGGAGAGGGGCCAGGCAGTGGGACTGCCAGGTAGATAGCGCAGGAGTGCCCGGGGTGGGACTGAGCCCAAGAGTGGACCCAGCAGACAGCACCACCGGGGTAGGGGGCTGGGAGGGGGCGGGGACTGGGGCTGAGCGGGAACAGGGGCAATGAGGGCTCGGGATGCCTCTGGGGCAGGGCTGGAGGTGGAGCAGCCCCGGGGCACCAGGATGCATCCGGGATGAGCCCACGTGGCCTGGTGTGGAGGGGTGAGTGGGCCCGCTGGAAACTGACTTTCTGCCCCCTCCCCAGATGTGAGTGCCCAGCCCTGCAGGAGGCTCCCTGCCACGGGAGTGGGGAGACCAGGGCTCTCCCCGCAAGGAGGACAGCGGGGCCGCCCACACTCCCGGCGCCGCCACCGCACCACCTTCAGCCCAGCCCAGCTGGAGCAGCTGGAGTCCACCTTCGGGAAGAATCAGTACCCTGACATCTGGGCCCGAGAGGGTCTCGCCCGAGACACGGGCCTCAGTGAGGCCAGAATCCAGGTGACGCCCCAGGACCCCCTCCCACCCTCAGGGAAGAGAGGCAGACTCCTTTGGTAGTGGGGGACTGCCTGGGACTGTCTGATGACGTCCAGCATCCTAACCCTAACCTGCGTGCTCATCAGCATCGTGAATTTTGCTTGAGTTTAACCCCCCAACTTGAGTTTCAACGCCTCCCTCCAGGCTTTAGCAGTGATGTCAATTTGCACAGAAATTCAATCCTAACTGTCCACATACGTACATAACCTCTTCCCTAACCACAGCCTTGGAACCCAACCAGCTCAGGCCTGGCATGGTGGCTCACGCCTGTAATCCCAGCACTTTAGGAAACTGAGGCAAGAGGATTGCCTGAGTTCAAGGGTTCAAGACCAGCTTGGGCAACTTGGTGAGACCCCCATCTCTGCAATAAATTAAAAAATTAGCCAGGCATGGTGGTGCATGTCTGTGGTTCCAGCTGCTTGGAAGGCTGAGGTGGAAGGATCACCTGAGCAGGTTGATGCTGCAGTGGTCGTGAGCGTGCCCCTGCACTCCAGCCTGGGCGACAGAGTGAGACTCCTACTCAAAAAAAGAAAAAGAAACTCAACCACTCAATGCTCCCTCAGTTCTAACCCCAGAGTTAGTCTTCAGCAAAATCTCTACCCTAAATCCAACTTTGTCTACAACAATTACATTTATCCGTAGTCTTAATTTTTTTTTTTTTAGTTGGAGTCTCACTTTGATGTCCTGGCTGGAATGCAGTGGCATGCTCACAGCCACCACAGCCTCAACCTTCTGGGCACACGCTACCAGGCCTGGTTCATTTCTTAAATTTTTTTTTTTGTAAAGACGAGGTCTCGCCACGTTGGCCAGACTGCTCTCGAGCTCCTGGGCGCAAGCAATCCTCCTGCCTCAGCCTCCCAAAGTGCTGGGATGACAGCCTATAGTCTTAATCTCTAAACCCAACCCTAGGGAAAATCTCCTGGGGGAGAAAAAGAATTTCATTGTTATCATGTTTATTTCTTTCTTGTTGTAAGTTGATATCTTCTGTCCACTGAGAGTTGCAGAAACCAGGCAAATTGGGACACGGGTGGTGGTCAAGGTGTCCGCTTCCCTTGCCAGCGGCATGGGATTAGCAGGGACTTCTGGAAAGGCTTCGCTTTCTCCGGTGATGCAGGCTCACTCCCTCGTCCCACACCTCCTGCCGCTGGAGGAGGGGCTTGCCTCATACCTGAGACGGCTCTGATGTGCTCTTCTCCGACTCCAGGTCTGGTTCCAGAACCGTCGAGCAAAGCAGCGGAAGCAAGAGCGGTCACTGCTGCAGCCTCTGGTGCACCTGTCTCCTGCCGCCTTCCCTGGGTTCTTGCCCGAGTCCCCTGCCTGTCCTTACTCCTACACAACGCCTCCTCCGCCGGCGACCTGCTTCTCTCTCCCCTACGGCCATGCCCTTCCCTCCCAGGCCCCGGCAGGCAGCTCCTTTGCCCTGCCACACCAGGCTGAGGACTGGTACCCTGCCCTGCACCCACCCCCCTCTGGCCATCTTCCCATGCTTCCCCTCAGCCTCGAGCCGCCAAAGTCCTGGAACTAAGGTTCACAGGTGCCATTAAGGCACAATTGAGGTGATCCCCAGCCTGTGGTCCTCGTGAAGTGTGGGAAATTGGGTGGCTTCCTTTTTCCTTTCTTCTTTTTTTGCGTCAGAGTTTCACCCTGTCACCCAGGCTAGAGTGCAGTGGCACGGTCATGGCCACCCCAGCATCAACCTGCTGGGCTCAGGCAATCTTTCCACCTCAGCCTTCCAGTAGCCAGAACTACAGGCGTGCACCACCATGCCTGGGTAATTTTTTGATAAATTGTAGAGTCGAGGTCTCACCAAGTTGCCCAGGCTGGCCTCGAACCCCTGGGCTCACGCAGTCTTCTCTCCTCGGCCTCCCAAAGTGCTGGGATGACAGGCTTGAGCCACCGTGTCCGGCCAGCTTCCTTTTTTTCTAAGGGTGAAGCAGATATGTGATGAGGGGCAGCTCAGAGGTTGGATTTTTTAAAAAGGGAACTCACAATGCATTCTTACAGAGGTGATTAATGGAGAGAATCTGGGGAGGTGAGCTCTTGCCAGACAGAGGTTAAAAGGCCTCAACGGTGATGGAGACTGTTGTTGGTGAATGGACAAGAACGAAGGGGATGGAATGTGAGGGGCTTCATTCGCTGAGGTCATGATTGAAGGTTTTCATCCCAGCTCTTTCCAGCTGACTTCGATATGGCTTTGGTTTCAAGGCTACCTGCACATCCCTCCCTGTCGCCCGCCAGTCACCACCTTCTGTTCATCCTGTCCTGGACATCCCTTGGGTTTGTTTCCCCCTTTCCATTCCGGTGACACTTCCACCCTTTCTGGCGCCGCACTTTCTGACTTCTCACTGGTTTCCTTAGCTCTCCTCTCTTCCACTTCCCACAGACCTTTGCAAAGCTGATCATCAAGGAATGGCTCTCCAGTGACTTACAAAAGTACACAAATGAGATCCGGTCAGCCTGGCCTGTACTCTTCAATATCTGTGTCCAATTAACTTTTAAATCAACTGTACGTTTTTGTTTTGTTTTGTTTTGTTTTTTTGAGTTGGAGTCTCACCCTGTCGCCCAGGCTGGAATGCAGTGGCACACTCACAGCCACCACAGTACCGCACCTGGCAGCTGTATGTTTTAACATACACGGTATCTGGCTGAGCAAGGTGGTGCACACCTGTAATCCCAGAACTTTGGGGGGGTTGAGGCGAGAGGATCACTTGAGTCTAGGGGTTTGAGACCAGCCTGGACAACATAGTGAGACCTCATTGCTACCCCCAAAAAATTAGCTGGGCATGGTGGTGTGCCTGTAGTCCCAGCTACTCAGGAAGCTGAGGTGGAAGGATTCCCTGAGCCCAGGAGGTCGAGGCTGCACTAGCTGTGATCATGCCAATGCACTCCAGCCTGCGCAACAGAGTGAGAGCCTGACTCAAAAAAAAAAAAAAAAAAGTGGTTTCTGAAAGAGAAGAAACCACTTGATTTAGGGCAAACTTTTCCAAGACTAGACAGACCATTTGAGACTCATAAGAGGTCATTCCCAGGAAAAAATGTGCCTTTTCTGGGAAACACTTTGATCTGAGCACCTCCCAAAAGAAACACGATGAAGCCTAGTTGGTGGTACCATTTTTTTGCCATACTGCTTATAATGTACTTATTTTACTCTTTTTTTTTAGATTAGAACATACAGTTTATTCAAAAGTAAATTAGAGAGAGAGAAAAGAAGATTCACCTCCCCAAGGGAGGGGAGGGGGCTGAAGCTTAAGAAAACATGGCGTGGCCATACCTCAAAGAGCACATGGGCCACACCATGGCTTAGCAAGGCAATGGCCTATTTTACTCCTAATTCCCTCATTGGTATGTCAGCCAACCTCCCTCACAGGCAGGTCAAGAGAAGAATCTTTAGCAAACAGGCCTCTGGTGACAAGTTCTCCTGGGGTTTGTAGTTCTTTTATGTATTATTTTAAAATCCAGAGTCAAGATTCCTGTATTACACATTTGCACGCCTATCTAGTTATCTCCTTCCAGACGGCCTTCCAGAAAGATTACACTGTTGGCGTAAAAGTCACCAAAAGTCCCTGTGCTTTCAGCACATCTGTGTTAACCTTTACCGTTAACCTTTACCGTTTTTGACAAGTTGTTGACTCCTCGTTGCTTATTTTTACCTTTTCATTAACTACTAGTGAGAGTTAAAATAGTTTCATGTTTATTGGCAATTTATATATTTTTTCTTTTGTGCCCTGCTTCTGAGTTGTGTATTTGTATATTGACACATCTTTTATTAGAGTTTGAGAACTTTGTGTGTCAGGGATAACAAAACTTGTTCAAGTATGTTGCAACTATTTCCCACAACTTGTTGTTTGATTTTTTAGACTTTCTCAAGGAGAATTAAACCTTACTTCCGGTGTGTCATTAATTAACTTCTGTCTTAAGCATCTAGAGTGGTACCAGTTGCATAGCACTGGTAGATTTCAAAAATTACTCATTCAGTTGATTTTCTGTGTTGTGTGGTTCAGATGAGGAACCCCGGGTGACATTAGTTTTTACTGGCTTCACCCATTCTTCATTATTTGGATCATAATTCTATGCCTTGAATCATCTGGAGTTTATTTTACCATGTACAGTAAAATCATCATGTAATTTCATGACTCAGTCAGCTAGCTAGTTGTTCCAGTATCATTTATTTAATAGTCTAACTTGGCTCCATTGATTTTCAAAATCATATTTTTTTCCTATACTAAGTTCTCATTTTTATTTTATTTTATTTTTTGAGTTGGAGTCTCACTCTGCCACCCAGGCTGGAGTGCAGTAGCATGCTGGCCACTGCAGCCTCGACCTACTGGGCTCCAGTGATCCTTCCACCTCAGTCTTCCAAGTAGCTGGAACTACAGGCACGCACCTAAGTTCTCATTTATACGTGAGACAATTGAGGACTTCTAATTCTTTCCCATTGATTAGTTTCTCTATTCCAGTGCCAGCCCACAGTGTTTTAATGACTGAAAATTTGAGGATCTTATCTTTAAAATGTTTCATTTCCTTATCGGATACAAGGTGTGACTTAGTATTTCTTCCAGACTTCGTATGTCCTTCAGGAAAGTAATCTAAAAAACCCCCCAAAACACAACAAAACCAAATCTTAGTCGACATTTTATACATTACAAAACTTATATGTGCTCCTTGTAATGAGTTAGCTCAAAAGAAAAAACTACATACATATCTACACACACCCATATCTGGATTAATCACAAAATCTGCATGTTGAGAAAAAATTTTTTCAGAAAATACCTCCAGTGCACCATATCCTTTATAGAGTTTTTAAATATGCAACATAATTTTGAAATTGAAAAATGATATGTTTACTTGTGCATAGTGTATGCTAGAGTGTGCCCATATGGTACAAAATATGAAAATGCACACACCGGACAAGCACCAGTTTCAGGAGGGGAAGACAGCAATGTGACCTGGAGATGGACACAGGGTGCTCAGGTCTACCTGGGATACCTTTGTGTTTGTTATGGTAGACAGATCTAAGACCTTTTGGAATGTCTGAACTATTTTATAGTTGTGTAAATTAATTATCTTGCCCATTGACCCTTATACCCAACTCCACCATCGTGAGATAAACAACACTGTATCTGTCCACAACTTGTGCTCACAGAAAAATATGCAGACATACACACGCTAAAGGTGTTATTCCTTTTTAAAAAGAAAACTGAGGATGGGTGTGGTGACTCAAGCCTGCAATCCCAGCACTTTGGGAGGTCGAGGTGAGGGAATTGCCTGAGCCCACAGGTTCAAGAACAGCCTGGGCAACTTGGTGAGCCCTTATCTCTACAATAAATCCAAAAATAACTCTGCAGGGTGGTGCATGCCTGTAGTCCCAGCTACTTGGAAGGCTAAGGCGGAAGGATCACCTGAGCCCAGCAAGTCGAGGCTGCGGTGGCGGCCGTGAGCGTGCCACTGCCCTCCGGCCTCGGGGACAGAGTGAGACTCCTACTCAAAACTAATAAATAAAATTAAAGATTAAAAATACAACTGGGCTCCTATCATATGCATTAACTTCTTAATGTGTTTTAAAAAAGAACAACCTATGGGCACCTTGAGTGGACCATTCAGATTTTATTTTCATTGCGAAGGGGCACTTCGTGCAACCTGCCTCACACCAGACCTGGTG